TCAGTGTAATTATTAAAATAACGTTCTAAAGAAATGCTAATGATATTGCTAGCCAATGCAGGTTATGACAGACTAACTTGTCTTATTTTTCTCTTTTACATCGGCTCTAAAACAATCTGAGTTAAATCCATTGTGTTTTTTTTAATTGTCGTAACTTGAAATTAATCTTTTAAGATTTGGATATTACTGAGGAGTTTTATTTGCCCGTCTTACATTGTTCGACTCTTACCTTAATTTGTTGTCTCTTGCTGCATTCCCCGTAGTCATCTTCAGTGGCTATTGCTCGTCTCCTCCCTGTTTAGTCTCCTTTCATTCATCTCTTCCTCCTAAAAACACAGAAAATAAAGAAAAAAATATTTTTATGCAAGGAAAAGTATTTATAAAGAAAGTTTAGCACTTATAACTAGACATTTTCCCATGACAAATGTGAAATAATCTGAAAATGACTAACATAAAACAAGCTCCTGGTTCTTTCTGAAAAGTTACTTGTAAGTTAGTTTTGTATTATTTTGAGTGCAGTTTTTTTTTTTGTGATGCAAATATAAACGGTGTGAAGCCAAAGCATGAGTGCCAGCGTGGATCCAAACCTCTCTGCTCGCAGTTTCTGCCAGAAGACTTTCCAGCATGTGAGCCAGAAACTCAGGGTGTCATGGCTACCATAGAAGAAGCACTAATCCAACTTGAAGTGGACCGATTACTTTAATCCACTAATAATACTTTAGTTTCTGCGGTGCATTAGGTAGAGCGGTGAAAAATCTGTGCACAATGAGTTTAAAGTGACAAAGAAAGCAACTCTTTTAATATACTAAGCACAATTAAAGAAATAGTTAATGCTAAATTAGAGATTTTTTGCATTTATAGCTAGTGAAGCTATCGGTAAATTAAAAAATGTTTTGTCTACAAATTGACTTTAGTGGTAAAAACTTTTAGATATTGTTTTTACAATATCTATTTATACTTTTATACACAAATTAGTCTGTTTTCCCAATAATATTATCCAATAATACTTAGCTTAATAATGTTGGCTAATATTACTAATTAAAGAAATTTCAGAGCCATCTTATGATTTGTGAAATTTTTGCAAAAATTCATTCTTACTTTTTTATAAATTATTAAGATATTGTCTTGTGAACTCAACATTATATCTATTTATAAAATTGATCAAAATCAATATGTAAAATTGTAAAAGAAGTTAAGAAATCTCTACAATTAGAGGTCAGTGTGAGGTTATGTTGCTGCAGTAAGGAGAGGCATAAATTTGAGAGCATTTTACACATCTGTAACAGAAGGGAGAATAATTGAGGAAGTGCCCCGGTTTCGACAACAAAACAAAATAAAGCTCAAGAAAGAACCCGGCTGATTTCTTAATTTGCTCTTACAGGCAGGCAAAGCTGGGATTTGTCTCTTGGGTTGCTTCTGCAGCATTTATTGAAGAAAAAAAAAAGAAACCAGGAGAGACAGAAGGAGAGAGAGGGTGGGGGGGATCAAGGTCTCTCCCTATAATTACAAAGATAGCATGGTTGCTCTCCCTCCCTAGCGGATGCTCCGAGGCGTCACTCCCAGTCCCTTCCTTCATGCTGTACAAAGACTGTTCTATCAGCCCTGGAACGGCATCATCGCTTGTAAATTAATTTGGGGTTCCTGTCAGCCGGGCCCCTCTCCTCTTATCTGGTGGTGTAATATGGAAGCCTGAGAGGCCCACGTAGATGCTGCTGAGAACACTTAAAAGAGCAGAGGTGAAGAAGAAGAGGACGGGGAGAGGGGAGGGTGTTAAAGAGAAAACGGATAGATAGGAGGTAAGAGAATCACGTGGAAGAGGTGAATTGGCCCCTAACTGGATGTCGGAGAAGGACCTGACTCAGTGATAAGTGAATACGGCCTGGCATCCTATTTTACACACTCACACACGGGCCATTCGTCATCCAGACTGGACTCCACTCCGAAGGGGCCTTCACCTATCAGCACTATTTGTCGCCGTGTCACAGGCGGCGGATAAATCTTCTCCCAAGGATCCTCGTTTAAATCCGCCCCCTATTACCAAAGGTCCGGCCCCGTCACGATCACACGAGCTTAATACACACTCGCGCACCTCTGACCCCTTCGGTTGTTTGTAATTAACCCCTCACCCGCTGTGTGTAACCTCAATTCCCTAATGGCAATAAATGAGCCTGCGTACGATCCCATTAGAGGACGGCATCATGATGGGGAATTAGGAGCTGATCTATGAGCAATGGGAGCATTTTGTTATCCAGTTAAGGTGGAGTCTTTGTTACCAATAGAAGAACCGTGTCTTCCATGTATGTGCGACTGAGTAAGATTTAATAGCTGTGGAAATATAAGATGTGTTTGGGATGAAGATATTTGAGCAACTCAACAATAACAAAACCCAGAATTTGTTTTTTATGCTGTATTCTAAAAAAAATTATGATTGATAGGAATTTGTTACTTCACATTTTGTTTCATTACGAATTAATGCACTTTTTCTGGTGATAAATGACTTAAATAACAATAAATGATGTAATTTCTCTGTTTTTGCACTTTACTCAATAGTATTTTTTTTTCTAAAATACTATTAGTTACATTTAACTAAAAAGTAGCTTTTGGCTAACAGCAAATTGTCCAGAAAATAATCCTAAATATTGGACTGTGATACTACAGAAACATTCACGTTGTTTCATTCGGCTTTTTTCTGCTGACAATAATTATCTCCGCTCTTCTTTTCCACATTGCACAAAAAATATCTTCTTTTCCATGTGCACGACCAGAGCTGCTGGAGCGATAAAAGCTTTTCCAAGACCATCGCTTCCAGCTTTGTACATCGAACAACAATGAGGGGGGAAAAAACAAGCCTGGAATATGGGGACATATTCAGATATCTTGGCAGAGCTCCAAATGGCAGATAGAAGAAAACAACAGAGGCTTTTTAGGCAAATGAACAATAAGACATGAATCATCTATTGTGGCCCATTCTGCAGGGCTGGAAGATGAATCCACAAGAAAAATTGGTTAGTGTCCAGACATACGGGAATGTGGAGGTGGACTGGGCTGAAGGAACGATGGTCGAATTCCCAACAATTCATTTCCACAAAGCACTCTATTTTTAAGGGTATTGCGTGCAGTTTGTCATAAATTTGCACAAAGGACAAACAGCTCTGAAATTAATAAAATTTACAGCCTCAACCCAAACTTAATTGTTTACACATGTAAGCAAGGTATTTTTATGGTACTTTTTTCAATCTCAACTTATTATTCAGTTTTACCCAAAAAAACAAAAAACGTGATTACATGACAATGGAAATAATTTAATCAACAATGACATTTTGTTTTGTTTGGGTTTGTTTTTCTGCTTCTGCAGAGCCAGCTGGCTCTAAAAGAGATTGTCTTTTAACTTTTGGATATCTACTGCCATCTAGCGGCCTCGAACAGAGCACACACAAAATAAATGTAAACATCATACGAGACTAAATCTAATGTTTTTTAACTTCAATTTCAAATAACCGTCATTATAGTATTTACAGCAGATAAAACTAATGAGGTTAATTAAGACTTGTTCTAATCTGAACATAGCTTCCCGTGCTTTGCTAGATGTAATGGTGCAATAAATATGCACAAATTGTTTGCTAATAATTAGCTGTTGATGAATTGACAGTTCTCAGATTAAAATCATTTTTGCAAAAAAGAAAAACAATTAACTATATTTTGTTAGTAAATTTGATTAGAAACACTTTTAAAAGCATGAAATCAGTCTAAAAGCGTCTCCTGTTGAAAAGCAACATGGATGACATGTTGTGGGCCAACACACGTTTCTCATTATTTCCCTGATGAATTCATTACAGAAATAGACTGATTCATCAACAGCAACACAGCCACGTCCACCATTCAAGTTTGTATTGCAAGGCACAGATTAATCTCCTGGCCTGCATCAGAGAATAAATCACTGCAACATAATTAAACGGGGCGAGGTTATAAGTGACACCGGGCTCCATCTAAATTACACACAGAAATTTGTTCCGTTCATTTTGATCATTTTACGCAGACATGTCTCAACTTAATTACACTTGTCACTCTTCTAGACTTGACAGACAGTTAATTTATTCCTATGGACGCAATGTGGATCCAATAGTTACAGTGGTTCCCAAAAGCTCATTTTGATCTACATTGGACGATCAAAGCTTGCAGAATTAACACATCCGCTTTAAACTGCTCAATAATTTGTGTTCCTCTTCATTGTGATTAACAAACCTCTAAAATAGCTGCATTTGTACTGGGAATCAATTTATACGCAGGTGAGGTTCATTTACTAATTCGTGGGTTTTTTAAGGTCCAGGGTCATTTCTACAGTTTTCCAGAGTTTGCGAGTGAAAATGGGTTAAAAACCTCTTTATTGTATTGATCGGTAATTAAAATAAAGTCTCACCTGTTTGTGTCCGCATTTATTTTTCTCTTCTCATTCTTCGACGTCTTGTCGCATTTTCTTGCACTAGTTCTTCTTCTGCTTCAATAAAAACTTCGTGGTTTACCGCCATCAACTGGACCAAGATGGAATCCATAAATTCATTTTCCTTACTTATCTTCAAAACTTAAAATAACTAAATTATATACATACTTCTTCCACTAGTTGGCAGGTCGGTGTTAAATGCGCACGACAAACAAAACTGGCGTTTAAGACGCCAAATAAAGTTCTGTATTCACAATTCATATTCAACTCCTTCTTTACAAATTCTTCTTCCAGTATAACATTTGTATTGGGTAAATAGAAAATATTCATCATGTGCATGAAAACTGTAGTACCTCCTAGAAAATAAAACTTATTTTCTTGTCCAATATTGTGATGAAAATATTTAGCCTGATCCAAAAAATAGTCCATAATAAGCAATTATGAAAATGACACAATCTTTTTGGTGGCAAACCAGCCCACAGCATGATGCTGCCACCACCAGAGATGAAGATCCATTGGGTTGTTCTTCATGGTCATGAAATAAATTGTATAGTGATAATGATAAATTTGAAAATAGTACAATGTATTGTTGGAATTTATGATTACAATATAAATCTTTAGAAAATATATGCATACAAATGCAGCTTATAATTGTAGTTATAGTGATGAAACACCTCTAACCAGTTAACTAAATATTATTCGAGCATACATTGCTGAACTTTCATGTGTTGTGCTACTTCCTTGAGAAAAGCATCCGCATAAAATAAAAATACAGAGATCGTAAGAGCTAAAAAGACACAGAATTACAAGATTTCACCAAAATTAGAACAGTTAACAATAACTGCTTGCTTTGGATTCATTTCTCTTTTAATTCAATCAGCTTTCTTGTTTTCAGTTATTTCTTCTTTCCTGCTTTTGTTTTTGTTTTTTCTTTTTCTCCCTTTGCCTTTGGTGATTTCAAGACAGGAGATGGTATTTTCGGGCGTCCAGCGGTGATCAAAGCCTCCTGCTGCATTTTGATCTGAAAGATCTCCTTGCGGAGGGACGTCTCTTGACTCAGACTTGCCAGCACTTGGCCTCCTGTGGCTTTGACTGCAGATCGAACCAAACCCACAGCACTCTACAGAGGAGCAGAAGTAAAGCAGCACTTATAAAACACAGTTTTCACTGGATTTAAATTCTTTAAAGTAAAATAATACCTCTTTGTCCAGTTCCCCGTCTGATGGGACGTCAAAGTCCTCCAGAGTGACCCGTGGCTCGGCCTGGACACATTTGAGTTTTTCCTCCAATTGCTTCAGGGAGGACTCGAGTTTTGCTCGCAGCTCAGACTGCGCCTCCCACATCTCAAGATCAGTGCCCTGTAGAATGATCACAGCGTGTCTGAAAAGGTTTATATTTAACTAATTTAAAGTGATAAAAGCAACAAGAACCAGAACCTGAAAAGTGTTGTGTAAATTATTTTGCTTCACCCATTTCAACATCTTTGCCGTTTCTTCCTGTCCCCACAGCATGATGCTGCCATCATCATGCGCCACTATCAGCAGGGTGTGTTCATGTTAATTTGTGTAGTTGTAAAGTCATGCCACATTTTTATTAGATTTCCACATTTACTTTGACTTCATGAAATCAGAAAAAAATCTGCTGACATTTATGAGAAAATGCAAAATGTAAAAGAGCTTTCAAGCTTTATGAAGACTATATTCTATTCTAACTATTAAAAATAAAATTAAAAATTATATCAAGATTCAGTTTCCTCCAGAGAACTTGTTAAGCCCGTTGTCTGGGTGGTAGGGCAGTCGTTCACCCAGCGGCTCGCTTTATGTTTGAGTTAAAAAATGTTTAAAGTTGAAAGGAAATTTGAGAAATGTGTTATTGAAATATTGGAAGATTAACACTTAAATACCAACTGTAAAATTAAGAATGCAAACATTTTAAAAAGATTTGATCAAAGTATCAAAATGGGAATATTCAAGCTCCGCAGTAAAGGTCCCTCTGTTGGGTAACAACGTGTAGCAACAAGTGTGAAAATTGACTCCCCATATTTAGCGTCCAACATGCTACTCTTCCTACCTGTGCTAAAGGGCAGGGGATGGGCGGCAGCTGCACCTCCAGCTGTTTCCGAACAAACAGCTCCTCAGCCGTTAAACCGACCACCGCCTGGAACAGCCTCCTTCTGCAGACGCAGGTGTCTATCAGGAACTGGGTGAAGTCATGCTGGTGTAAGGACGTCAAGTATGGAAAATGCTCACACAGAACATCTCGGAGCAGAGGCCAGAAGTTGTTTAGGTCGAATTCTGGATGGATAGGAGAAGAATAAAAGGTAACAGAGAGATAGAGGAGGTTTCATAAACCAAAACGCAACTCTTGGAAATTATTTTTTTGAATATATACACATCTCTGCAGCTACACCAGCCTGAAAGGCTTTTTTTTTTAAATCATGCTATTAAAAGGTTGCTTGTGTAAGCGACACTGAGAGCGAATCATTAACTGACTCACTTTAATTTGAATGCACAGGTGGAAGAGAGCATCTCTGTTTGCCTATCAACAACAACAATGCAATTTGTGCAGCACAGAGAGCGTAATGTGGATTTCCCTAATAAAGAAAACAGACTTGTTTTTACCATGCAACTGCAGGAAGATGACCTTGGCAAGCCTGGCTGAGAGGATCACGTTGGCCCAGGAGAAGCCAATCCCTGCAGTGAACATGGCGACATCATATACAAACTCTTGATGTAAAGGAAGCTTTTCGTTGGTAAACTCGAACCAGTTGAAGTGGCGGCTGAGTCTTTGGATGCCATCACTCCTCTGGAAACAGATGACATGCATAAGTTATCAAAACCTACATAGATTAGTTAAATAAAAATAAAAAATGTTTTACCATCATTAACTACTTTCTGTTAATCACACAAATCATATGAAAATACTCTCAATGCTGTGGTTTTATTGTGATAAAATATGCAAAAGTTTACTTTTTGAGTTTCTAGACTCTGTGCATCATATTGAAGCTAAATTATCAGCCAAATTATTAAAAAATGTTCCTTCAAAACATGCAAGTGGCCTTCACGTTCCTGTCTGGCTCCTGTATTTATGACTTTCTGCTGATATTCCTGCACACCTGAACGCAGCATTAGAACCAAGCAGTAAAATGAAAGGCCCGGCTGGTTTCCTACCGGAAGCCTCGCTATCTTTGCCATCTCCGTCTCTGTAAGGGAATCCATCCCGACAGGTTCGAGGTCACTCGGTTGCCATGGGAGACGAACGCGGAAGTTACGCTGTTGACGTGATGACGTGAGCAAGTCGTCACTCGTCAACCTAAAACCCATCCAGTGGCGTTCTTCTGGGTAAACAGCGCATGTTGTTTACGGATTTTTAAAATGATTCTGGATTTACATAAAGGGGAAAACGTGTTGAATTGAAAGAGGAGATAAAGTTCAGTAAAATAAAGTGATAACTCTATTTATCCAGCCCCACACAGATGGCCCAGACGCCTCTAATCCTATTTAGCAGGGACCCCCTCCTCTCTATCCTCCTGCTCGCTCACAAATAAAGCAATTTTCTGTCAAGCTGACAGAAAGGAAACTATTTCTAATCATTGCTTTCAAAATCAAACCTTTATTTTGCCCGATTTGGTCCCGTTGTAACAAATTCTTCTTTTTCCTCCAATAATGTCCAATAAGTATAAATATGGACTTGTGTTAGGGATAACTTAGATTTGTTTCACATTTATTGTTGTACATGATTTGACAAACATTATGGGTACAATTTACCACCTCTAGGTAAAGTCTCACTTTATTATGAAAGTCTGACTCGCTCTGCTTCCGGTTAGTTGTGCGCTTTGAACATACGCCTCTGCAGGGGAAGCTGAGAGCGGAGCCGCTTCTCCGGCTGCAGGAGCGCATCGCGCCTCGGTTCAAAATAGTTTGCATTTTGAGTTTATTGTGGTAGGAACTGGGATTTTCGTCTCCAGTCTTCTCGACTGTCATAAAACTATTCTGGTGAGATTTATTTATTTATTTATTCTTATCACTTGTTACTTTGAAACCAGCTTCTTGTTTGGAGAGAATCTAATTATCTAATTGTTATTGTTTAATGTATTTACCGTTTGAAATCCAGTTGTGGGGTCGTAGTGAGTCTTATTGGATAAGTGAACAGAGAGAGTGAACCTGCAAAACTAGGCCACACATCATATAATCTCTCCTCTGCTTTACTCTTGTCCGACTGACTCAACTGATTAGCACTTTAAAACCTCCTAAAGTGACCATTTAAGATGTTTTGCAGCTTGTATATAAATACCTGTGTGCAAACCACTGTAGCAGTATTAGATCCCCTGATTTATCCACCTGGAATACTTTGAAAAGCATCAACACTTTCTTAGAGATGCTGTCATTTCAGGCGCTACTCAACCCTGACTTCCTGTCTACCTTGAGGTCTCTGAGGCCCACCTGCTCTGCCTCTGTCTCTCATTAGACCTGTGAAGCAGACACTGATTAGTTAAAAAAAAAAAAAGTAGCTACAGAAGGCTGAATTATGCAACAAAACCCATCATCTTATTTCACGGATTAATGAAAGCGGTGAAAATAAATGACATTTCTACTTTGTTTTCACTAGGAAAAGAATGCAAAAAAAAAAACATTTGATTTCATTATAAATGCCACAAGAGCTCCAGCTCTGTAACCAACACAATACCTCAAGGAGTTTAAAGAGCAAAAATGGGGAAAAAAAGATAATTATTTTCACAGTTGCAACCAAATAACCTTGGGGAACATCAGAAGTTGTGTTTGTCTTTGCATTTTTACCTGACTTTGGAGGATCTGTGTCCCTTCTCCATTTAGTGCCATTTCATTCCTTTCTGCTTTCAGGGTCTCGTCCAGTGTATTATAAGCCTGGCGGGCCACCAGGCTTTATTTGCGCCCCCATCAGGCTCAGCACTGCTTATTTATTTGCCAGGTACAAAACTTCCAAAACTAGAAACTTCAAAAATAGTATTGTGAAGTCAATTAAATCAATTTTGTACTTCTCACTTCCTGTAGTGATTATCATCATTAAGCATTTTTCTGCTTCAAATAACTGCAATTTTACTAATGCAAATCAAATGTATGTTTTTATTTCCTTGAATAGAAAGGTTTTATTTTATGTGCTTTCAGAATTGCAGCTTGTTGCCTCTTTGTGCAAACAACATCTTTCTTCTTCTACATGCATCTCCACTCCAACACACAGAGATTATTAGGGAGGATTTTCTTTCTATCCTTAGCATTGCTCCTCCTCTCTTATCCTTAGCTTCCCTCCCTGTCCATCCATTCATCCCCCTCCCACATCCTCCTGACCAATTACCAGCTGCCATTTTACCTCCAGCCTTCCTGCAGATTCCGTCTTGGTTTTCAATTTGAGCTGCAGGGAAAACTACACAACTTGACCTTGTCTTTTAAAAAATAATAATAATATATTTTTTAAAATCACTTCAGTGGTACCAGCATTGGTCTTGACTTGACTAGTCAGTCTCCGTAACTTTCAGTTCAGCTTTTCCACACCTCTTTGGATCATGTTTCCTGAATGTGTGAGTATGTTATTTATATATAATTGGTCACAGGATGTTTTAAATTAAGCTAACCTGAATGTTTGGAGTAAAAATAACTAAAAAAGTTACATCTTAAATGTTTAATTATTATTATTAAGCATTCATCAGTTATTTTACTGATGTTATTTCAAGAGCATAAAATCTTTTTCTTCTTAGTGCAAAATTAATTACCATTAAGTCAAAGGTTGTTTGGTTCCGTAAGGTTTTTTCACGAAGACGGTTAAAAGATTTGTCAATTACTTTGGGAGACAAGTTTTATAAACATATTAAATACTGATAATGTATATATTTTGCCTTCCTATAAACTTACAGGTCACTCTCTTGAATCTTTAAACTGTAAACCAATGAGAACCCAGCATGAGCTAATTGGCTAAACCTGAATAGCCTGTTCCTGTTCACAAACTCCTTCCACCTGTTGGGACGTTTTTAATCCTGGACCTCAGTTCAGGTCAATTATGATGCTTTTTTTTGTTTTGTTTTTTTACTGTGGTGATTTATTTTCATATTTTCACTCAAAAAGGTATAATTTTAAGACAAATAACATTTTATTGCAGCTGCTGTTTTCGTCATCTTTTTATGATGGCAGCAGAAATAAGTAACAGAAAAAAGTTTTGGGTTTTAAGTTAAAATCTAATAACTCTTAGCTGTAATTTCATTATTAAAACACAGTTAAATGTTCAGCAGTGCTGTCTCCTCAAAGGGAAAGGAAGCAGCAGACTTTATGGTTGCTAAATTAGCTAGAGGATTAAGAAGCATGGTGTCACGTTGGGCTTGTCTGGAGCTCAGAGCAGTGATTTGGCTCTGAACCCCGGCCCTATTGGGCTGAAAATCCTGCTTAGCCTGCTGATTACATTCACCTCTAAACACTGCTTATTAAACATTATTCAGGCTAGTTGTCTGTAAAGTTTGTACTGAATGTAAAAAGTGAAATGAAACTGAAATTTTAATATGTAGCTCCATGCCACACAGCAGAGAAAAATAGTTTAAGGTGTGAAATGTCTCAATTGCTCAAGACAGTTACAATCCCATCACCTTAAAACAAACCAGATTAATTGATTTTACAATTAAGTTTAAATATTATTATCCTTTTAGTTTCATTGAAGAGTTAATTTAAATTATAAGACTAAAATTGCCAAAATAAAGGAAGTTATAAAGAGAATATTTTACCTTAAAAAGTATAAAAATCAGTGCAAAAGACAGTGTCACATTGATTGCAGGATAAGAGCACATTCACATGAACACCGTTTTGACAGCTAAACATAATCCTGAAAGAATATTAGTTGGATAATAAAAGTTATTGCAAGATGCTTCAGTCAATCATTCTAAGAAATCTGAATATTTCTCCATTTTATTTCTGTCTGTCTGCATTAAATGCATAAACAGTTAAAATGTACCTTAGTTTCTATCAGTTACCGCAGCAACTATGCATATCCACTTTGACGCGCTACTTTTAGCTTGATAAAATCAGGTAAAGTTTAATCTAGATGCATAATCTTGCCATTCCTTCAATTTTTGTTTTATTTAAAATTATTTGGGAACGTCAGGCCTCAGAGTAAACCTGAAATTGGTGTTGGCCGAAAAAAGCCTTTCGGTGGGTATAAATAGCTTTGCTGTGAGTAAATCCACACATGTGACACCAGGTTGTGTCAAGTTCTCCTATTAGTGGATGTTCTGACTCCTCAGGTTTATATCCTGATTAAGTCTTGTGACCTTGTGAGAATAATTAGAAAGTATGAGAAGGGAAGACAGCCGTTCTGTCATTATGGTTGATTTGCCAGTGTCTTTTGGTCAGTGCTGCGTTTTTTGATTATGTTCTGCAGATACATCAGACATCAGGCCATGCAGTCGGTCCAGACAGGGTTGTGGGATCCCCATCCCCCGTCTAAACATGCCTCGCCTCTCCCTGCACCCCCTACTTCCAGTTCACGCCACGCCCATGTGACCACAGCCGCCCCAGCCAAGCGGATAACTTTTTACAAAAGCGGCGACAGCCAGTTTGGGGGCGTCCGGATGGCCATCCACAAGCGCAGCTTCAAGTGCTTTGATGCCCTGCTGGATGACCTTTCCCAAAAGGTTAGTGGGATGGGTTTGATGCAGGGATCTCTTTTGAAGCTGACTCTTCAGATACACTTTTAAGTCTTTCCCTAAGCAGAAACGTTAGCATTATTTATTCATTTGTGATCTGTTGCTTATATTTACCAATGTATAGGTCCCCCTCCCGTTTGGAGTGCGGACTGTGACCACTCCCCGAGGTATACACACCATCAAACACCTGGAGCAGCTCCAGGATGGTGGCTGCTACCTCTGCTCTGACCGACGCCAGGCTAAGCCCATTGACATGGACCTGGCCGGCAAACGCCAAGGCATTTGGTACCATCACAGCCGGAGGCCTCAACGCCCCGAAGCGTCCACTGGGACTCCGCCCGGCCATTTGAATTTGCCTCACAGGCAGAGGCGGATTCTGCTGGTGAAGAACAGCGAGCCGGGGATGAGGCGGAGCATTGTGCTGAGCAGGAGGTCTACCAGGAGTCTAAGAGCTTTCCTAGACGAAGTGTCCGAGGTCATGCAGTTTCATGTTCGCAAGCTGTACACTGCAGAAGGACGCAGGGTGAGAGAGAATTTTAACTCATCATTTTTTACTTACAAATGAGATAAAAACTTATGAGATAAAGCTCTTTCTGTATTTTTGCTCCTAGATTGACAGCGTGCAAAGCCTGTTGACTTGTCCTGGTGTTCTGGTGTGTGTTGGCCGGGAAGCCTTCAGCCCTATGCTCATAAACTTCATTAGGAAGACTTCAGAGGAAAAGCTGCCTGGACTGGGGAGCAAGTCTCCAGGTCTCGGTCCAAGGATTCCTGGTAACGGTGCCAGATCTCCTGCGGCACAAGGCATAAGGTCCCCACCTCATGGAGCTCAGTCCAGAGCCAGTGAATATGATGAAGGAAATGAAAGCAAGAAAAATGGTAAGTTGTTTTGGAAAAATAAAATTGAAGATTTTTAACATTTGCCAAGGATTAATTTGGAAGCATCTTGCCTCCATTTACAGGTCAGAGAACACTGGTGTGCAGACTTTTCATATCCATCTCACAAGCTCATTTTTTTTCTTTTCAGTAAACTTTGGTCTGGAGACTAAGAAGAGCATCATCCACCCTCGATCCGATTCTTCAAATCGGTCTGCTCGCTTCTCTTTGTCGTCTGAAAAGTCGTACGGCGTCTTTTCCCAAGCAAGACCAGCTATAACGAATGATGACATTGAAAAGCGTGTTTTTGTTAATAAAGACGGCAGCCTGTCAGTAGAGATGAGGGTACGTTTTCGCCTCCAAAATGAGGAGACCGTTCAGTGGTCCACACAAATTAAAAAATCGCCCTCTCTCACCAATGACTTTTGCCCCCTGAGCCAAGCTCAACCACATTACCTCCAGCAAGGCACATCAGAAAGCTGTTCTGACCCTGATTCAACATCCTATGAGGGTGTGGATTATTCCAGTCAGCCTCTGCAGCGTGTGCTGGTGGAGAACCAATGCCAATGTTGTTATCAGAGACATGAACGGCCGTTTGATTTGTGGGAAAACCCCACGCACAAACATCCTCCTGCCCCACCCGTTCTTTCATCAAGTCACGCTATGGTGAGACACACACACTCGTCAAGCTCGTCCTCTTCATGCAATTCCAGAAGAGTGATTCGGTGCCGAGCGCGGGTCTCCGGGTCTCCAGGTGGCTCCGGCTCAGAACGGAGCCAGTTGGTCCAGAAAGAGATGTGTCTTACAGAGCAGGTGGAGGAAAGAGTAGAAGTGGCCCAAGACGGGGAAACTCAAGTTGAGTTCTGCAAAGTTAGCCGATGCTGCAGTCAGACAGAGGTGGTTGCCATAGATGCCAACATTCGACCACCCAGCGAAAAGTCAGTGGAGGGCGAGGTGATGATGGGGGAAGATGAAATCCGACCACTGTCTGCAGTCAGCAGCTCTTCGCATATTTTACAGTCTCTGAAAGAAGACCAGGATGATGAGGAGGATGATCTGCCACCCAGTGCTTCCCAGTGCTCCCACAGAAATGAACCGTCCTGCACTCCTACTCCAGCAAATCACTTGGGTGAAGGACCGTCAAGCAACATCTCCACCTGTTCAGCCCAGTCGCTCAAACGCCAGGAGCAGGAAGAAAATGCAGGAAGTAGGGCTTTGTCTTCAGCTTCGTCCTGTCACTGTGGAGCAACTAACACTCACTCAACAGCTGAACCAGAGGAGATGGATCGAGTCCCCAGCTCGATGTCCCAGGAACCCAAGAACCAAACATCAGAAGAAGAAGCAGCAGCTGCAATTGACAATGAAGAAATTAACAGGGGTCTTAGTGGCTTATCCCATAACACAGGACTTTCAGCAGGTTCTCGAAAATCATGGACATCCAATGTTTGCTCAAACTGTGGAGGCTGCAAACGTGCAAACAGCGCAATGTCAGCTCAGTCCAAGAGCACAACTGAAGCTCTACTTACAAAGTCAAATTTAGAAAAAGAGGGAGAGAACACAGCAGAACGAACAACCAGTTCCATGTCAAAGAAGTCCAGTGCCTCAGTCAAGTCCCATAAATCTGGTTGCTTGTCAGTTGCTAGAGAGGTGTCCCCGTCAAACAACACAGTTGCAGAAGAAGGCCACACAGACAAAAGAGCTCAGAGTGGCCTCTCTATGAAGTCAAATGCATCTAACAAGTCTGGAAAGGCTGAAAGTGTCCGGTCAAATAAATCAGATAAATCCAAGGCTTCAGCAAGATCTTGTAAGCAGTGTGCAAAAGCTCTAACTCCAGAAAACAAGGAGGAAGATGTACTGAATGATGCAACAGAAGAGCGGGAAGAATCAGGAGTGGAGGAAAGATCAGCAAGTGCACTGTCAGCAACATCAAAACTGTCTGCCAAGTCTAACAGATCCCATAGGTCCACTAAAACTTTGGAAAAATCCACTTCCCCCAGGTCAGAAACTGGGGAGGACGCAGAAGAAATCACAACCAGTCAAATGTCTGGAAGACTATCTGTTCATTCCATAAAATCCTGCAAGTGTAATGATAATGGCGAAGCACCATCTCCAGCCTTAGGAGTGGGAAACAATGCAGAAGAAATGCAGTCCAGGCCAGAAAGCATAATAGAAGATAATTTAGAAAATAACAACAGGTCAACCAGTGCTAGGTCTTGTAAATCAGATTATTCTGCTAAATCAAACAATACAATTGAAAACAGATCCCCGAGTGCTAATTCACAAAGATCACACACCTCTGCTAAGACCTCTCAGTCAAAGAGGTCAAACCAACCAAGAGAATCTCAGAATGACCCCAATGTTACTTTGACTGAGACAAAGAAGGAGGAGACTGACATTGAAGATCGTGAGGCTTTGGAGAGCGCCATGTCTGTAAAATCAAAATCTTCAGTCAAATCTGACGTTTCTAGTAAAAATCGCTCAGCTACAAATGCTGTCACCATCAAAACACCAGAAGGAGCTGATGAGACAAAAGGAGAACCTGATTCTGATGTTGCTTGTATTGAAACCTCACAAACTGGTAACAACAAGGATGATGCTGCAATAAAAGGCACATATACTATAGACCCTGATGGCCAAACGCTCTCACCAAAAAGAAAACCTTCATCCCGCTCACATTCCCCCTCCTCCAGAGCTTCTCAATCCCCTGTGCAAAAGTTGTCACCAAATTCCGGTACTGGTGAGCAAAGAGGGCCCAGTTCGTTGTCTGTTCACTCCAAAACCTCTAGCAAAGTAAGCAGATCCAGGTGTCGTTGTGAAACAGCTTCACCTGTTGAAAAGGAAAATAAAGAAGAAGACAGAAAAAGTGAGGGAGCACAGTCTTGCTCCTCAAAAAGACAAAGGAAAGAATCGGGATGCACTGATCAACCTTTGAGTCGTAACTCATCAGGTTCGATATCTTTAGGGTTGCCAGAGGATCAGGAAACAGCTGAATCAGACTGTGCCAAATCTAGTGTGTCTTTTTGCAATGGCGAGACGAAAAGCCCTTCTCTCCACAATCCTCCAGTGGTTGATATTCCAATTATTGAAACACCCAGAGAAGGTGAAAAGGGTGATGAAGAGGGTGGGGAACAACCGAATGAAAGACCAGCCAGTGCAACGACAGTCCAAAGCAGCAGGTCTCAAAAATCCTGTTCTAACTGTAGTGTCAAATCAGCAGCTCAGTCTAAGGGGAAAAGCAGCAGTCCTAACCCCACAAGCATAGACAAAGCAGAAAGTGTGAAATCTGCTGCAACAACAGATGCATGCAAAATGGACACCCCAAAGAGCAGGAGCTCCTCTGTAATGTCAGGCACACAAGTTTGTGGGAAATCCCCTTCTGAAACGACTTCCAATGTTCCTACAAGTACCGGAAACCAGAAAACCAGCAGACCAGGAAGTAAGACCAAAGGAGAAGAAGACAAAACAAGTGTCCACTTCCAAAGTCCATGTGGTCCAAGGCCTGAGTCAACAGCTTCGGTGCAGTCAGAGACACAAAGAACTTCAGAGGAGAAGAATATGGCTTTGGGGTCGGTCAAATCTGGAAATGACAAATCCCACAATGAACATGAGTGTGGAAGTACCAAACTTTCCAGTTCCAGGCAAAAAGAAACCCCCCCCAAATCAACAAGTCCTTGTTCCTTACACAGCCCCAGGCCAGCCAGTAAAGTCAAACCAGGTAGCGGAAGCACTCTGTCTCACTCTCTGTCTGCTGCCGACCTACTGAAGGAAACTTTGGCTGCTGCTCGCCAGCAGGACTGCCAATCAAAAGCCAGTAAAACCAGTGACAAAGCCCACAGTGAGAAGAGTGGGAGATCTCAAAGAAGCAGAAGTCGAAAGGATCGGGAAGACGTGGTAGAAGTGACACCTGACTGTTTGCCCAATGCATCTCCCAATGAAGTTGTTAGCGACTGGCTGCGGAGCATTCCTGCTAATACTAGCATGCTCACACTCGATAATGAGTTAAATGATGAAGAAACTGAGGAGGGGGCAAAGAAAACGGAGGAGACACCAACAGAAGAGGTAGGAACAGGGGAGATGAGTCCGGAGGACAAGAAGGTGGAACTGGAGGAGAAAATAGAGCCACAAGAGGAAGAAAAAAAGGATGAGGTCAAAGGTGATGGAGTCGGTCCGACTTTGGGTGACACAGCGGAGATTTCTTCTCGTTCCAGGAACTGGCATTCATCTGCCGCCGTGATGAAAGTCCTCTTGAGCTCATCTCTGGGTCGATGTCGGAGCATGCCTGAGGTAAGACAGAACCTCTGACCTTCCTCATATAATCAGACAGGTTATATTTAGGTCATTTCTTGGTTCTATAGGTGGTTTATTAATAAAATCATCACTTAGAAAATGCTTTTCCTCAAACGTCTTTCTCTGTTATTAGAATTTGTTGGCTGATCTGAAATGTTTAAGTGTCAAAATAGCTTTTACTCACTCTCATTTAAGTAACGTGCTCATAATTTCAGTATGTGCCCGTTTACCATCCTGTGTAGGTGTCTCCAGTTTATGGCCGCAGACTGAGCACATCGGCCAGGGGGCTTTTGGACTGCTTGGCCCAGCTGCAGCTCATTGAGCCTGCAGTCAGCAGTCATGAACAGAAGGACCGCAAGCAGCAGTACGACGAGATTATGGCCATTCTTCAGTCCCTGTGGCTCACTGAACCACACAACATCAACGTCAAGGACACTAAAGACGGCGGCACAGACCAGGTGACTCCACCGAGGTCCTCATCTGGAGTGGGTATGAGCAGTGGCTCGGGCGGATCGGGTGGAGAGAAAAGCAATGGGAACCAAGGAGAAGACGAAGCACCCAGGAAAGAAACCGAATCTCTGCAGGAGGAAGAAGCGGCGGAGAAGGTTGTTGAAGAGGAAGATGAAAATGCAGCAGCTGGACAAGTCGAAGTGGAGACAGAAGTTGAGGAAACAGATAAAACAGACACAGCTGAGGAAGTGATGAAGAGTGAAGAGCAAAGTATTCTTCCTCTTGACAGCTCAAAAGCAACTGAAAACCCTTCATTATCGGAAAAGAGCTTTCCCAACGACAGCTCCAAGTCCCCCACAGACAACGAAAGAGACACGCAGGAGGACTCCAGCTCAGGGACTCCTCCTTCTGCTCCTCGGCCACCCTTATCCAAACGTCTATCCCAAGACCCCGATCCAGTTTGGGTTCTGCACCTCCTGAAGAAGCTGGAAAAGCAGTTCATGTGCCACTACATTGAGGCCATGGAGGAGTTTAAGGTCCGCTGGGATCTGGACGACAGCCTCATCCTGGACACCATGATCTCCGAGTTGAGGGAGGAGGTGAGCCGGCGCATCCAGAGCAGCATCCAGCGGGAGATGAGGAAGATCCAAAGCCGAGCCGGGAAAGCGGGGAGGTCACCTCGGCCGCCGCAGCTCGCAAACATGTCTCGGGATTCTACCATGACGGAGAAGAGGCGCCGCATGCTCAAGGTAAATATGCCACAGGGGTTTATCCAGTCAACAATTAATTGATCGATAAATTAGTTGACAATTATTTCAATCATCAGTTAGTCAACCCAACGTGGATGTTGACTTTTCTGCAGTCCATTTCTCTGTCCCATTCAGAGACAAAAACCTGAAAAGGACATCCTGATTTGAGTCATAGGGCATCCAGAAAACACGTAACAGAAGGTTCCCAAAATTGAACTGTTTGGCCTCGATGCAGAAAGTTCATGTGACAATAACACTTCTTCAAAGCCTTGTAAAAATTCAAAGTGTTTGATTTCTGTTTCAGGTGATGAAGAACCAGTCAGTGAAAACCGCAGAGTCTCTCACTGAAGAGGACATGGCGGCTGATTTCAGTGACCAGCGAAGCGACGACGAGTACTGCCCCTGCGAAGCTTGTGTCCGCAAGAAAATGGCCGCCCGGCCATTCAAGATGAACCCGCTGGCGGCCGAAGCTCCTGTGATGATGGAATTCGACCTCCTGAAGATCCTTCAGCTCAAGAAAAGCCCGTTGCCTCCTTCTTCTGTGCCGAAACCTGCAGAGGAGGAAGAGGCGGCTACAGATGAAGAAGGAAGGAATTTAGAGGCAGTTGAAGAAGAAGAGGAAGAAGAAACCAAAGAGGATATAAAAGCTGATGTTGTACTAGAGGAGACAATACCAGAGGAGGATGAGGAGGATGAGCAGGAAAATGTTGAGGAGAGCAGAGATAGAGAACAGGAAAGAGAGGAAAATAGTGCTGAAGATGAGGAGGTGGGAACAGATGAGCAAGAAGAGACATCAGAAAATGCAGAGGAGGAGGATGAAGGACTGTGCACTTGTCAGTCTGAGAGCAACAAAGAAGAAGAGGGTGAAGCGGGGGAAACGAGCAACTGCACTGATGAAGGAGAGGAAGAAGGAGCAGGAGAAGAGGAGGAAGAAGAGAGCGATAGAGAGACGGTGAAGGAGGCAACAACAGGCGACAAGGAGGCGGAATCAGAGGATGACACATCAGCGACCGATGGAGAGCCAACGCTGGCGGAGGAGATGATGCGGGGAAACGTCGGCGCATCTGCAGAGGAGGAAGATGAAGGCACAGGAGAGGAAGAGGAAAAACAGGAAGAGAGTGAGGAGAAGGAAGGAGAGAATTCTGAGGAGGAGAGAGCTTCACCGCAGGTAATAGACTGAGAAAATTGTCAGTATGTTCTTAGTTAAAGTCTAATTTAGAGCAGAAGTATGAAAAACTATTTGCCCAGATGTGAACACCAAGTTGAAGCTCATGCTACAAAATTACAGATTCAAATTTGGACTTTTACTAGGCCATTTCATAACCACCATGGTTCCATGTTTTTATCATTTGTGAATTTTGTTTTTCATGAACCTGGGACATGATGCTGGAGTTTTAGTTTTATTTTTTTACCCTGCTTCATATCATAAGACATGTTTTACCTGATTTTTGATCCATCAAGTCCTGAATGCTGTATAAATTAAATCAAAGTTATGTAAAGTCATCCAAACATTCCTATTATTTAGGATATAACCCATTTATAGTAGATTTTATTAATTATTGTTGCATTTTTTTATGGTCGTAGTCTTATTGAGTTATAATATTTTGTTTTGAGGGCATAATGATAACCGATTTTGTATTTGTTTTTTAGCAGTTTTGAATGAAGTGCTAGTTTCTAATCTTACATTTTTGAGTCAAAAACATTTGTTAAAGAACTCATATTTTCAAATTGAAGCTGTTTTAAAAGGTATTTCTTTGTGACATCATAGAAATATAAATGCACACAGCCTTGCTTTGTATCTTCTGAGATGAAGCGGGGATTTGACTAAACCCCAGCCTCTCAGGCCTTCAAGATCCTCATATCTAAGATTCGCAACAGTCGTTATGATGGTGTTCATTATACGCACAGTTGTGAAAATCTGCATGGTCTCGCTTACCGAATGAAAATCTATTTTAACAGAGCTAAGTCTCTGAACACAACCGTGGGTTAAAATCTGACCCACTGTAGCCTCACAGCTCATGCTAAGCCTGTGGGAAAAGCTAATCTCGGCATCCAATTAGGCAGCCTGAACAAATCTGTTTTGTTTTGCAGGCACTCTGAGTCTCTCTTGTAACTGTTAGTCAGCAACCGCCTCACAAAAAACTGGAAGATTTTCAATTTAAAATCAAAGCTAAACGAGCCTAACATCTTTAATTCATCTCTTGTCATGAAATCAATGTTGTTTGCAATGACTGATCATTGATTTTCTGATCTTTCTTGACCCTCAGAGCCAAGGTGCGATTCCCACTGCATGCGTGACGGAGGGCGAAGAGGCGGACGCTGAAGACTCTGATGACAGTAAACATCACGGCGATGCCAGCGCTGACGAATCGGGGGAAGAGGAAGCGAAAAGCAGCAGAGAAGATGGGCAGGAAAATGGAGTAGAGGAGTTTAGACCTGAGCAAGAAAGTGAGGAGGAGGAGGGGAAGGCAGCCGAAGGCAAAAACGAGGACGGGACTCTGCTCCACCAGTTCACCAGAACCTCAGTGGAGTCCCAGCCTGGATCAATGGAAGACGTGGACGTGGATTTACCTTCAAACTCTAAAGTGGTCGACAATGCTGTGGTCAAACGGCCGTAAAACCAAAGAGTGAGGAGACCGACCTCAGACTTTTGGTTTAAGACTCTTCAACACTTGAAGCACTTTAACTTCTCCAGATTTAAAATAGACGTCGTCATCGTGACTTTTTCACATGTTGTCATGTTGCAATCTCAAACTTTAATCTGTTTTATTGGAGTTTGATACAATAGATCAAAATCAAATCAGTTCAAATGAAAATTAAATCAGGTCAAATCTATGGACTGGATTATTGTGGATTAAATGCAAATTATTCAAATTTCCCCAAATTCCTAGAACATTGAATTTAACACATATTTCTGCTAAGTAATGGTAGAAACATAAATTCATAGGATAAATAGAAACTCATGTCACACTTTTCTAATATTTTTGTTGATAAATATGGAAAACTGTGCATTTTTCTTCTTTCATTACACAATAATCCCATTGACGACTGCAGCCGTAACATGACAAAATGTGAAGAAGCTTAAGAAGTATTAAGATTTTATTGCAGCACACTGATTATAGAAACCTGAAACTTGAAGAACTTTTACTGGAACCATATAACTTATATTTGTTTCAAAGCTAATCACAAGTATTGAGAAACATGTTGAACATATTATTGATATTTGACTTAGGTTTCGTTGACCAGAGGTTGAGCATAAATCAAATCATAGCCAATCATATTTGAAGTACCTCAGATATTTTGTTTTTTTCCTTTAGTGAACCACTTCCTGTTGGTTTATCTGTGTTCATTTCTTTTTTTTTTTTTTTTTGTTTTGTTTCATGAAGTACATGCTGTATTCTCAGGGGTTTGGACAACCAGTTTGCTGTAGACAGATCATCTCCAAGCTATTACTTAACAACCTAAATCTGTACCCTGCTGGCAAGTCAACTGTTTAAATCTGCAAAAACTCTGTGATGTAAGTTGATTACCTAAACAAAATCGATATCTACTTTCTCGCATATGCATCAAGGACAGAGAGAATTTGTTCCTTTGTTTGATGAAAGCCTCTTATTTCTGGTATTATTAGGTGAGACGGGGTGTGTGCCTACGCTGCTACTGGTTCTAATGGGTGTCCATTAATCTGGGTCATCACTGATGAAACTAACTTAGAGCTCACTGATAAACAGCACGACTGTAATCGTAACGACCTCAATAAAAATGAATAATCAAATGGCCATTTTCATATTCGTATCTTCAGACTTTATTGATGCGAAGCAGTTCTTAAACATTTTGTATTTCTGTTGAACTGGGATATCCACACTGCAATGAACAGATTTGTTCTGCATTTTACGTCAAAGATCAAACAAATTTCAATGTCAGAGACGACCAGGATAAATTCACAAGGCAGTTTTCAAGAGATTATTGAATTTATAAAGAAAATTTAAATTCATGCGTCACAAACGTCAACATTAACATCATCTAGCGGTGCGGCTATTGTGCTAATATTTTAGAGAACACTCACTTTTTTTTAGAGAGAGAAAAATATTCAACAAAAGATATAATTGCATGTGCGAAACTAATGCTTGATCTTATTTGGTCACGTTAATGTTTCTGCACCCTATTAGCTGTAGCATTTAGCATTTTTGTACATTTAAGTTAATCAGGTATGATGAAAAAAAGGGAAAATCCCAGTATTTTGGTATGCTAAGCTGTGGATTTTAAGGATTTCACATACTAACCATATAATCAGAAGTTCAGCAATCATGACTTCCATGTAATCCTGCATGATTAATATTTTTCACTGCTAAATTATCATGTGGCAGAGCTTTCTGATCAACACTTGAGTTGCTTTTTCTCTGTTTCTTCCTGTAGTGTTTGACTCTGTGCTTCGAAAGCTGCTCAAATATTTCAAGATGCGCGCACACACACACATACACACACACGCACGCACGCACACACACACACACACATGTCACACTAATCCAGTACCTGTGTCTGTGTCGAGTCACAGAGGGTCACAGGATTGGGATTAACTTACATCACGCAACAGAGGCTCAACATGCAGTTATGCAGTTAAGATCAGCAGAGAAACGACACTAAAGTGTTAAGTTTGAGATGTTTTGGTTTTTTTTAAAAAAAGTACTTTGTGTAAGATGGATTTTTCAAAATCTTTGTGGAAAATGTAAGTTTTCATTCACAGAGACATTTTTTCTAGATTTTTGCCAAATCCTTCAGATTTCTACCAGACACCAGAAAGATGCTAGGTTCATAACTTCACCCTCCTTGACAAAATCCTTTAACCCCAGATCATAATGCTACCTACACCATGTTTGGCTGTGTGTATAATGTTCAAATATCAGTTTGTAATCAGGTTCCTTTAGTTCATAAATGCAGAAATGCATTGATAGTGACTCAGTTTTAGTGATTGTTGTGCCTTTGGGATTCATTTAGCAGCAGAGTTCATCATTATATATTCATTATGACCTTTTGATGACTTCAAACACGCCTCCACTGCCTCTCTGACGATTGGCTGCAGCTCCAAACGAGTCTCTGCCTCCTTTATAGAGCAGCCAGTCAGCAGGCAGACTAAAGCCAATGGGACGACCTGAACAACAGACGCAGGCAGACGATGATTCATTTCTACATCTGACTGCTTAAATTTGGATCTCAACTCTGCCGTACCTTCTTAGCCTTTCCAGCGGTGTGTGTGTGTGTCTCCAAGCTGCAGGTCGTTATGTCCTCACTGAGCTTGTCCACTTGATAAATGGCCTTCAGCAGGGCTTCCTCGCACCGTGACTCCGAATGACCGGACAGTTCCTAAAATCAAACAGTTTCTTACTGTCAGAACAGATTTAGACAATAAAATAAAATAAAAAAATAAAGAATGAACCACGGCGAGCCTGACCTGCAGTAAACGTGCGGCTCTGCGGTAGAGCTTGCTGTTGGTGACTTGCAGGTCGATCATGTAGTTCTTAAACACTTTTCCCTTTAAGATGTGAGCTCCGGTGCTCACTGCGTTCAAAAGCAGCTTAGTGGACAGCTCCTGCTGCAGAGGAGAGAAAAAAACTCATCCGGTTTCTCAATCACAAATTAATCTAAGGGAGTTTATTAATTTAACTACCAACTGTTCCCTGTAAAGGAGGCCAAAGTCAAGGAGACAAACCATTTGTTGCAATCGCTTGGGTGTTTCTCTGGGCCATGTGAAGTTAATGGTGGATGAACAAAGTTTATTTATGTCATCCTATGGTAAAAATAGGAATATCGGTTATAGACTTCATATAGAATCCCATAAAACATAAAAAAAAACACTTTTGCACATTGCAGTAGATTAAAAAAAACCAGCTACTTGTTGTGCACCGGTGCCTCCATCAGTCTGGTGATAAGCAGCATGAATGTTCGACGTCTTTTCTCTCACTCTGCGTGCCAGCTTTGCCACCTCGTCGACATCATCTGTGAGGAGAGGCCATCAAGACACACGCTGACTCAGTCTGGAGACCGTCCAAACCTGAGAGCGCGCTCGTCTCACCAGAGGCGGCGTAGAGAAGCAGAACGGTGTCGTTGTCCGTGAGACGAGGCAGGACGCGATCCAGAAAGTCATCATGAGAGATGCTGAACTCAGGGCCCTGAGAAAAGAGACGCTCAGAATGATTTGACTTTTTTGTTTTTAATAGCCTACTGTCCTCATAATGAAACACAATTCACTTTTAGAAGAACAATGACCTTAAACGTACAACGGACCAGTCAAAGCTCAATACAGAATAATTGAAAACACCCAGTAATTTCAGATTCAGCTCCAAACATTTGTATCTCTTATTACAGCACAATTAAGTAAATTATAGTGTGAGAAAATGTAGCTTAAATGCTGTTCAGTTAGGTTAAATCTCTATATTATGAAGGCATGCATTGTTAAAACCCAAACTGTTTGATGTATTAATTGCTAATTAATTTGTTTTATTGGCCTCTGTTTTGCTCAGTCTGAAGATAATTAACCAGCAGCCTCCACATACCATCACAGTCAAATTGCCCTCATTGTTGCCGAGTTCTTTGTAGCCGCCGCTGACAAAACCCCGAATGTCTTCATAGTCTGACAGACACACAAATGGACACATTTACAACATGTCAAATAATTTTTTTAATATTTTTTGAGTCGTCTGACCTGCTCCGAATGTGGGTTTACATTCACTGGCGTCTATAAGGCCCAGCAGACCCAGGGAGCCCCAGCCCAGGTAACACACCTGCCTCCCACACTGCAAACTGAAACACAGAACTCAAAGTGAGCAAGAGCAGACATTTTTGTTGTGATTATCACCACAAGTGTGATTAATTTAATAGTCACACCTGCGTCCAGCAGCCTCCGTCAGCACCGCTATCTCCTCTGAATGCGAGTATGTAAAGTCAAGAGCTTTTTTGTAAGATCTCATATGCTGCAGAATCCCACTGTGTGAGAAAAACAAAGTGACTACATACCAGTATGCACTTTACATTCACTATATCCACAAACCCCGGATTTTTATTTCAGTTTAATTGCACAAAGTCACCTCTAGAGGTCAGCAGCACCTCACCAAACATAAGCCTCTTCTTTGACCAAAACTTCTGCCTGGAAAAGCTAAATCACTTCCTGCTATTTTATGTGTTTCTGTTGCATAAAGTGTGTTAGCAGAGATTTAAAAGAAAGCCGAGGCAACGATTTGACTAATGTGTAAAACTTGTCCTCGTTTCTCAGGTGGACGGCTTAATGGAGATGACTGTAAGCTGTTGCCTCCAAACACAAAGAAGCACTTAGAGAGCAGCGGGCCGCTCCTCTGGGTGCAGAGAGAAGAGACGACTCATGAAGTCACAGGAGGGCAACTGGGGACAGAAAAACTACAACCATTAAATGGTTGTTTATTTGACTCCTTCAGTGTTTTAAAAGAAAAACATGAAAGATTGTTTTTATTGCTGTGTAGATTATGGACTATAATCTGACATCAATTAAGGCTGAGGCAACTGTTTAGTACAAGTAAGAAGGTTTTTGACAATTTTTGAGAAAAAAACTGCAACAAACTTCCAATTATTAGGACAAAAAAAGTGCAGGGTTTTGCTGATTTTGCATGAATTTCCACACTAATTCTCAATTATTGTGGACTGATTGTTATAATTTGGCACTAAACAGATAAAAACTGCATCAATTTGATTGATAACATTTAAGCACATTCAATCTGGATTCTAGAGGGCCACATAAAAAGCTGCGGAGGGCCAGATTTAGCCCACGGGCCTTGAGTTTGACACATATGCACTAGGTGATGAAATTGAAATGACATGTTTCAAACATAAATGTATAATTGTGTGTATGACTAAGGCAGCACCTGGTTATTGATCTGAAATCGGTATTTGTATATTTAAAGTAGGAACACAATGATGCCCTTTTCCCAATACTTGAGCCCCTTTTCTCAAAATGTCTGCACACGCCACTGGAAATACACTTGACAAAAAACTAAATCTTCAGTTTTAGCTACAAGAAACTAAAATAGCAGCTCCCACTGGAGCAGCTGCACATGAAATCTTTTGGACCGCTCCTCCATATCCCCATTGTGCGTACTTGAATGTGACGGGCGTTCTTGAGAAGCTGGCAGAAAAGACGACCTCCAGGAGGATCTTGGTGGCGCTGCCTCCCTTCATCCTGGAGGAGCCGCTGATGGCTTCCGGCTGAGCGGACACAAGCGTTCACATACAGAAATCTGAGTCACTGCTGGGACAGTTTAGAGTCTTGACACAAATGCAACCTGAGCAGCTAGTGGAAGAATGGGATGAAGAGTACCCCGAGCGCCGGGTTGATGAGAAAAGCCTTTTGCGTTTTGGCTAGCTCTTCCATCCTGGTCACCACACTGTGAAACGTCAGCGTGCAGCCAGGTAGGGGCTCATTCCTCCACAGTGAAACACATTCATGTCAAGTTAAATCTGTGCATGTATTTATACATTTAGATTGATACGAATGCTCACCTGGCCTGATGTGCAGGATTAAATCCAACCAGTACAGGTGTGTAAACATCAGGATGCCGGAGGCAGAAATCCAACTGACCGGCCACAAACGGAGCCTGCAGGGAAACAATCAACAATTACAAACAATTTATTCCAGTTCATGAACCTGAAGACATGCAAGTCTAACTTACAGATAATCCACAGGAGACACCGATGAACAAGACTCTTTTCTTTCCCTCAGAAACCTGAAGAGGACCAGAGGAAGTGATGCGTTTGCAC